TGAAGCTGGTCCTGCAATTGGGGACCCTCCTTTGCTGGCATTTGAAGGAAAACTAGAAGCAAACGAGCCAGTTGTGGTCTGAAGCTTTCCTTGTATGTTTCACCCTTCACAAACTCGACTCCAAGTCCTTGTCCTCTCCGTCGGGTCCCAGGACCCTATTGTTTGAGGTCTTGGGATATCTTGGGATCCTAGGGTTTGAACCATGTCGTATTTCCAACAATGGAAGCGGGCATTTGGGGCCTCAAGATGCCTCAAAACACGTTGGCCGTTCCAAGAGGATCGTCTTCGCTCCGGACCTCCCCGGCCATGCGGATCCGCGACTTCCGAGCTTCCTGCACCTCGGGTCGTTCGGCGTTCGGAGACTCGACTTGGCCGATGGCTTTCGGAGGTTCATGGGGGCGGGGAGGGAGGGGAGGGGGAGGGAGCCCAAATAAGCCCTTATTAAGCCCCTAGTAATAAGCTCTTATTTAGGGCTTATTTGGGCTCCCTCCCCCTCCCCTCCAATTCCAAGAGGCCCTACGTCAAGTCCAAGTGATCCGGATCCCGCAAAATGACACCACGCGATGTTCAAGGGTTCTGCTCATGGTGCCAAAGCCTTTGGCCCGATGGGAAAGGGCTCAAGCCCAAGGCAAATTCACAAGCCCGAAAAGGCGGTCCAATCGATCTGCAAAGGAGATTCCGCTCCTAAACAGGTCTATTTTTGCTTTTCGTGTATTGCTCGTGTTGCCCTAAGGGTCCAAGGAAAAGAAAAGGAATTTGGTAGGAGTACCAGAACATATAGGCCTGAAACTCCCCAAAAGAGGTGTCATCCGATTCCATGTCGAAAAAGTAGCTGTACATTGTGTCCTGGCGCGGTATCAGAAGAAGCTGATGCAACCACTGCATTTGCAGGAGTGCATTGTTGCCGAGGCAAATTGTTAATACGGTCTTTCCATTTCCATCTGCGGTTGCAAACAGTGCAATGCAAAAGGCCCTCTTCTGGAGAGTCTGGGATTTTTCCAAATTTCTCATTCCATACAAGTTGATGTCGATGCACATTGTATTTGCGCTCAAGGTTGGCTCGAGCTTCTGCAATCTGATTAGGGTTACCACGATGCCCTTCTTGCGCAAGCAGTTGGTCATCGGAGAGGTGCGCAAAAGCGCATACGGTCTTTGTAATCTTGAGTCTCAAATGCTTAGCGTTGCTGGTGTACTTGCCACAACGCTGACACCAATAACCTCCTTGGGGCCGCGCTGCCACAAGGTGTCCGTTGACTATTGCATTGGTTGGAGCCAATTCGGGAGGTTCGTGAGGATCAGGGTCAGGCGTTGGGCGCTGTGGTTCATCAATTCCATACCAAGTGCGAATTCGGCATTGCCAAATATCAAGAAACATTTGGTGCCCTAAGGGTCCAAGGACCTTCTAAGGAGGCAGTTCACCAACAAACCATCCTCAGAGGGTACTGGAACCCTTCGGGTAACGTTGATCAGGGAGTTACCCAACATGAGCACCCAAACAGTCCATGTCGCACAGAAAAGAAGTCACGGGTCCTGGGGGAATAGTGCAAACAAACCAGCCCCTGCAGATTTTGCCCCCCAAAAGGCGATGTCATGTTCCGAGACTGGGCGCTCTTTGGGCTCCAAAAAATGTGTGGTCAATGTGGTGTCCAAACAAAAACTCGCAAGCGCGCGCGCGCGCACGCACGCACGCACGCACGCACGCACGCACGCGCGCACGCACGCACGCGCGCGCGCACGCGCACCCGCACCCGCACCCGCACCCACACCCACACCCACACCCACACCCACACCCACACCCACACCCACACACACACACACACACACACGCACACGCACACGCACACGCACACGCGCACACACACACACACACACCAATCTCATTTTCCCAATCGAGTTTTGAAGCGCCCCAAACACCCTCGATTTCTGCTTGCCAAGTGGCGCGCAGTGCCCTCTGCTCCTCCTGGTCATAAACTTGCGGCACGAGCCTGCGCGAGGTTCTCGTGGCTGCCCTCTGGAGGCTTAGGACGCTTTCAGTGTCTTCCTCTCGAAGCCTTGCCCGAAACCCACCCAGGTCGCATTTTGGCGAACTTGTAAACTTCCGTTTAGACTGAAACCCCGTCGGAAGCTCCAAGAATGGTGTTCCTCCGAACTTGTTGCTTGCCACTAAAATGGCTGTCCTCAAAAACTTGAAGTCCAGGATATCAGGGAGCAAGATTAAGTCACCAGCCCGAACCGTGGATTGGCCGAAATGGCCAACAACAACCATCGGGTCGAACAGAACATGTTTGCCATGATTGTTGGCAGCCCCCCTCCAAAAAACATATCGACTTGATATGATTTTGTCCTCCACTGCATTTCAACCTCGGGTTGCTTTTGACATTGGAAGCGTCAAGAGCCCAGCTTTCCTATTGGTTTTCTCGCCAGTTTAGTAGACTACTGGTCACTGGATCGGGTCAAGTACAACGATTCGCATAAAATAAGAAAGTGAGAAAACTTGGGGTGACAAACCATAGTGAGGGCTTTTGTAGGGAACAACCCCCGCCCCGCAAAAAGCAAACTTGGGTGGTGGTCCGTTTGGTTGTTCCTTTAAAACCACAGAAGCAGGTACCCTCATAGAAAGAAACACCCACAACTTCCCAGATCCGCGAGCCGCAAGACCCCATGTTTGTCCTCGGTCACGCGACCCGAGTCGTGGCATGTCGCTGTCGCCAACATTTTTGTCTGGCAACGCAACCGGCTTAGCTTGAAGAGATCAGAGCTTAGCCGATCTGGAACTGAAACGGACGCCCCAAGTAGGAACTTCGACATTTCCACCGGGACACCAGCGAAACTTGACACCTGCCTTCTCTTTGGGTCGACTCCGCTCAAGAGATCAGAAAGCGGAGTTGGCAACTCAAAGTCATACTACGGAAGCGAGACCATGTTCTGCATAGGCAGAAGTAAGCCATGAAACAAGACACATGTGCCTTTTCCTCCTATTTTGGTTTTTACCACTGAGTCCATCGGCTTTTGCTATGCTTGCCCAACCCTGAAGACCAAAACTTGCTAAAAAACAAAAAGCAAAAAACTTTGCTGCACAAGTGTTGTGGCCGTTGGCCTGTGAAAATATCCACCAGCACTTCAGAACTGTCCATCCGGACCGCTACCTTGCGCCTTCAAATGTTCACATCGCTCTCCTGCGCCTTTGCCCACTGAAGTGCTTGAGCCAGATGGCTTGCTCGGCTTTCGCGCCGTTCGTCCACCATCGACTGCAGACTGGGCGCTCTCGTGGCAACGGCCAACTCCTTGCAGGGTGGGAGCAAGTCTCTAAACGGACCAAACCACAGTAGCTTAAGCTTTGGCTTTGCCTAAGTCTACAAAACGGTTTGGATATAGCTTTTGTGGATTCACCCCTGCCGGATAGTAAAAGAGTACTAAATGAGGGTTGTCCAAAATATTCCTTGCTCCAAAAATCGCCTTCCGCCTCGCCCTTCCGCGAACTTCCGCGATGGAAGTAAAACCACACGTTCTGATACGTGTCTGAACATAATTAAATAAGTTTCCGTAAAGTAAAAGTACAGCAAGCCAAGAAGAAGAGCTAGTGCAGAAAGCAAGAAGTAGACTAGGAATGGAGCGAGGATGGAACGAAGAGCAGAACGAGCAAAAGGAAGGAGAAGGACAAGCAAACGTAGGAAGCGGAGCAGCAAAACACCGGAGAAAGAAAAGGAAGGAGGAACGTGGCAACAAGCGACAAGCTACGCTACGTAAAGAGACTAGCCACCCCCCGCGCACGGCGACAGCCACAGTTGCGGGGGCTTCGTTTTTGTATCGTTTTGGGTATCGTTTTGAGCACTAGCACGCTGCTACAACTGCGGCGTCCCCGGGCGAGAGAATGAGCAGCAGCACTGGGAAACAGACACAAGCGACGTTTCACGCTAAAACAAGAGACGGGTGGGCCAGCCCCGGCTCAAGGCGACAGCTGCAATTGTATGGGTTTTGTTTTGGCATTGTATAAGTTCGGACCGCGATTTTTTCGCGCTTTTCTACAAACTCTGCCGCGGGAATCAGAAGGACCACCGAATATGATGCCAGACTCGGTAGCTCAGTTGGCCCCAGGCACGCCGCGGTATCGTTTCGGAATTTCGCAGGTATCGCCCGGGGTATCGTTTTCATCTCAGTACAAATCAACACATGAAGCACACTTTGACTTTGACAGCCCAGCTGAAACATCGCAGCTTCTAAGTACTAGCAGAGTACGAGCTGTCCCAGCTCAAGCAGCACAACTTTTCAGTACTCGTGTAGTACAAGAGTAAAGCTTCATCCCATGATAACACATAACCTTCCGCGAAACTTCCGCTCGCCCTTCCGCGGTCTTCCGCGACCACAGTGCCGTAACACCGAATATGCTTTCGTATTCAGTCCTTACACAAAAACACATAGGGGGTTTTTGGTCGATCCTCAAATAGAGTACAAAAAAGAACCTATACAAGGAAGAGCAGGTGAACTCCACAAAAGGCACCTCCAAACCATTTTCTAGCCAAGAAAACTGGCAGGTCCTCAGGGTCCTTCGACATACAATGGTCTTCTGCAATCGACGCCAGCGTCCTACGCCACATGCGCGACAGGCGCGCACGCTTGCCGGGCATTGGAAGCGTTGGTGGAGTAAGCTCCATGCCGGGCCGAGCACTCGAACAAAATGGGAACCCACTGAGCCAAAAATGCCTTGAGCAAACTCGGTGGCAAGCAGCGAACAGCCACCCGGGCTCTCTTTGCAGACCTTCGGAACCCATGCTTTTTTCAAACAGCTCTGGTCATTCCCATTTCCCCAATCATCCCGTAGCCATACTTACTTTGATCGCCGGGAAGGCTGTGGAACTTGCCATGATCTGAACGAAATACAAACCCCATAATATCCCATGATCTTGGTTTTCCTTGTATCCTTATAAGGGGTAACCTCGAAAACTTATCAAACACCGCGTGACATCTGCCAATTGAAAGAGGTTCCCAAACATGAATTAACATCACTGGGCAATACACCTCTCAAGGGGAGCTTTGTGGGGTGCTCGCCATGAATTCACCAAATTGATCCATTGACTGGTGCATTCTCCGGAGTTCCTGCTGCTTTAGGTGCAAACAAGTTGAAAACTGGGGGGCGTAAGCACCCCTTGTGTTCCCTTCCAGGAATCCGCTCACAAAGTTCATACATCCGGAGCTGACCAGCTGAGTGATAGGAAAGTGTTAGGCGTCAACCAAACAGTGATCATTGACTTTGAACATAATCTGGACCATACAAATCTGAACAATCCCTGGAAAAATCCGCCCCCCCACTCTTGCTGCAAAAGCGGCCGCCCCCGACTAGTGTAATGCTCCGGATCCATCCAAAGTTGACATTCACGAAAACACTCACCAACACACAATCTTCAAGCTGCCCAACTGACTTACTGGGCTAAACGGATCCGACTCCCTGCAAAAAGTGATTGTGTCTTCGGGTTTTCTTCTTGTTCTCTAGGGGAATGGAGAAAACCAAAAAAACACAAGCCAAAAGGCAAGACAAGTCCAAGTGGACAGGTGAGCAGCGCTCAGCCCCATCATTGCCTATTGGTTCTACCAACATGGTTACACAGGATTATGTAGGCTTTACCAAAAAACCCAAGAAGCTTTCGAGTAGAACTCCGTCTAGATTGGCCGCTAGGATTCGGTTTTGGGAGCATCCCGTTTTGCCCTTTCGGGTCCTGACATGTTCCCATGGGCCTGTACGGCAGCAAGACCATCTCATCTTTGACCGGCGCCTGAGAGACCGTCGCAGCCCCCAGAAGGGTGACCACTCAAACAATACCGGGTTCTTCGGGGGGGAACAAAAAAACCGACGTGAGCAAAGCGGAATCTTACGAAGAGCCAGGTATCCATCCCCGCATTTCCAAATAGTCCCCTTCAGTCATCACGGCGCTCCGCCACTGGCAAGGTGATGATTCTGCTCCCAAAGAAACAGACCCAACATTAACAACTGCCAAAAGTCACTGGTGGAGTCTGGTGGAGACTCAAATTTGACATTGCTTCCGTTGGTTTCTGAGGAACCGGGGAAATCGCAAAAGGTTAGAGTCCTTGTCAGGAGGTCCCCAACTGGAACCAGCATGACACCAAGGCTATTCAGCCCAGTGTGCGTGCGTTCGTAGGGGGGTGGCTGGGTGGCTGGGTGGAGGGATCACTAGATGGAAGTCTCCGTCTGTTTCCCTCTCTCATTTTTGATTTCCAAAACAGGGTTGCCCACACCTGCAAGGGTCAACGTTGTTCCCCCCGCCGAAGTCTGGGATATTCTGGGAGCTTGCTTTTGGTCGTCACAACCGCTCCTCGCTCTTGTGCACTTCAACACGTGCAACCAAACGACCTTAACTGCAATGACCTCTGCAATGATCCTTGCCATGCCCGAAAACAATATGCCTTAAGCTTCGTCAGAACTTAGAACCAACATACCCCATCAACAAAGCAAAACACAATGAGACTGTTCGAATAGCTTGACATACTGATTAAACTCACAAACAACAAGACACGGAAAAACGCAAAACCAAATTGAAATCCCAGCCCCCAAACAAGACAATAACAAAACTTGACCACTGTAGTGAGAAGCCCAGACAAAGCATAATTTGGCGAGTAGAATCCGCTGAAGCCTCACCCCCCGACCTCCAGTAAGGCATTTGGCTTCGGCACTTGCCTTGAGTCTTCTCCCCCGCCAAAAAGGCACAAGTCTTTGGCCCGCCTGTAAAACAAACAAGCCAAGCGCCTCCTGCCATTTCGGCCTGCCCACCCTACCGGTCGCACATGGACAACCCATGGAGGGGCCCCTAGGGGCGGCTTTGCTGTTTTCAACCATGTCCAAAACCTCCAGTCCAACAAGCAGATCTTGGGGCACTGGGAAAAGGGGTGCCAAGAGTATAATTATGACCCCTTCTTGGCCCCTGGTGACGGGTTTGTGAGCCCCTTAAAGGGGAGGTACCACAAAAGCGGCCCCTAATTTCCACCACTTGACTCGCTTTTCGGCGCGGTTTTTTCGGCCAAATGCGAACGGAACCACCAGGCTTCGGCTTGTCGACACGGATTTTCCCGCCTGCAAGGCTAGCACCGTGGCCTTTTCGGAGCTCTGCTCGAAGCTGGCCCGCAGATCTTTTTCGCACGGGGCCTGCGCTGTGGGGCGTGGGGTCCGTGGGAAAATGCGGCTGGGTCCGGGTCCGTGGCGGGGGGGAGGTGGAGGACACTTGGGTGACTTTTCGGCTCCTGGGCTGGTTTGTTTGCGGGATTTTCACATCTCAGCTCCCGGACAAATGGGGGTCGAGCGGTTTCCCGTTCCGTTTCCCGGGTTTCCCATTCACACTCTACAAGAACCAGTCCGGCAAACAACGGAAAGCGCCTGCCACGGCATGCGATGGCTTTCCCTTGTTTTCCCTTGCCTTCCTTCGCTTGACCTTGCTTTTTCCCTTGCGTTGCCTTGCTTTCCCTTGCTTTCCCTTTCCGTTGCTTTCCCATTTCCTTGCTTTCCCTTGCTGTCCCTTGCTTTCCTTTGCTTTGCCTTGCTTTGCCCGTGCTTTAGCTTGCTTTGCCTTGCTGTCCCTTGCTTTCCCTTGTTTTCGCTTGCTTTCCCTTGCTGTCCCTTGCTTTGCCCGTGCTTTTGCTTGCTTTGCCTTGCTGCCCCTTGCTTTACCTTGTTTTCCCTTGCTTCCCTTGCCTTGCTGTCCCTTGCTTTCCCTTGATTTCCCTTGTTTTCCCTTGTGTTCCCTTGCTGTCCCTTGCTTTCCTTTGCTTTGCCTTTCTGTGCCCGTGCTTTTGCTTGCTTTGCCTTGCTGTCTTGCTGTCTCTTGCTTTCCCTTGCTTTGCCTTGCTTTGCCCGCGCTTTTGCTTGCTTTGCCTTGCTGTCCCTTCCTTTCCCTTGTGTTCCTTTGCTTTGCGTTGCTTTGCCCATGCTTTTGCTTTCTTTGCCCTGCTATCCCTTGCTTTCACTTGTGTTCCCTTTCACTTGCTTTCCCCTTGCTTTCCCTTGCTTTCCCTTGCCTTCCTTTGCTTTGCCTTGCTTTGCCCGCTTGCTTTGCCTTGCTCTCCCTTGTTTTCCATTGCTTTCCCTTGCCTTCCCTGGCTGTCCCTTGCTTTCGTTTGCTTGTCCCTGCTTTCCCTTTCCCTTTCTTTCCCTTGCTTTGCCCGTGCTTTTGCTTGCTTTGCCTTGCTCCCCCTTGTTTTCCCTTGCTTTCCCTTGCTGTCCCTTGCTTTCCTTTGCTTGTCTTTGCTTTCCCTTGTTTTCCCTTTCCCTTGCTGTCCCTTGTGTTCCTTTGCTTTGCCTTGCTTTGCCCGTGCTTTTGCTTGCTTTGCCTTGCTCTCCCTTGTTTTCCATTGCTTTTGCTTGCGTTCCCATGCTTCCCTTTGATTGTCCTTGCTTTCCCTTTCCCTTGCTTTCCCTTGCTGTCCCTTTCTTTCCCTTGGTTTCCCTTGCTTTCCCTTCCTGTCCCTTGCGGTCCTTTGCTTTCCTTTGCTTGTCCTTGCTTTCCTTTGCGTTGCCTTGCTTTCCATTGCTTTCCCTTTCCCTTGCTTTCCCTTGATTTCTCTTGCAGTCCCTTGCTTGCTGTCCCTTGCTTTCCTTTGCTTTGCCTTGCTTTGCCTGTGCTTTCGCTTTGCCTTGCTGTCCCTTGCTTTCCCTTGTGTTTCCCTTGCTTTCCCTTGTTTTTTGTTGCTGTCCCTTGCTGTCCCTTGCTTTCCTTTGCTTTGACTTGTTTTGCCCGTGCTGTTGCTTGCTTTCCCTTGCTGTCCATTGCTGTCCCTTGCTTTGCCTTGCTTTCCCTTGCCTGGCTTGCTTTCCCCTACTTTCGCTTCCTGTGCCCTTGCTTTCCCTTGGTTTGCCTTGCTTTGCCTTGCTGTCCCTTGCTGTCCCCTGCCAGCTTGACCCAAGTCAGAGCAAACCAACAACTGCACAACCCTCCTGCACTGAATCACATACAAGCAACAACCCAAACCAGCGCCCGTACTTACACACTCCGTGTCGTCTCCCTGGGACCTGCAAACCAGCCTTGCGGTGGCAGAAAGTGCTCCAAAAAATACTCCCAAAAAATGGGAGTATTTTTCCTGCGACATCCCCAGCATCGCCGACCACCACAAAAACTTCCAAAACAAGCGACATCCCCTGCATCCCTGGCATCCCCTGCATCCCCGGCACCCCTTGTGCGCCCAAGTCCGGCGAGGCCGGAAGCAAAGTAAAATATTGTAAAACTGGCACGCTTTTTGGCCCGCGAGAGCCACAGACGAAAAGGTCAGACATGATAGGCAGCGTCGACGAAAAAGTGCGAAAAACACAGGGAAAAACACCAAAAACCAGCCTTGCGGTGTCAGAAAGTGCTCCAAAAAATACTCCCATTTTTTGGGAGTATTTTTCGGCTGACCAGACCTGCAAATCACCCGGAACGAGGTTACCCCCCCCCCCCCACACCCCCCCCCACAACTTCGTACACTAACTCCCAGCGCTTCAAGAAGCGCTTTCCGTCACCAGGGGTGCAAATCCCGAACCACCAATCCAAACCACCAGTTAAGGGCTGACTGATACACAGTAGAAATACAGCTGGACATGTTGAGACACGCCCTCGCCACGCTACGCCTTCTCTCGCGCCCTGCCTCTGCTATCTGCTGGGCGGTGCACTTACCAGACCTGGAAGCGCCCAAAACTCATTGACTTTTGGTACCACCATGTTTATATTTTTTATATACGCGCGTGTGCTTTTTGGGGTCATCCCTTTTTTGTTTGCTTTTTCAGGGCCACCAACTCAAAACCTGTATTTGAGGGAGGAGTTCCCCTAGTTTGACACATACCCATATAGTCCTTACGAAGCACAACCACCGTTTCATACGTTGCAGCGGCATTCCCATATGCTCGCACCATCAGGCCCTGCACTTTCAAGCATGTCGGACAAATCCTGTACAGAATGCGGCAAGCAATCCTGTGCAACTGGCGCACCTGTGTCCATGCGGATATGTAGGTGCCAGGCGCTCGTATCCACAATCGCACTGGGCAGTTATTAGGCTTCGTAGATCTATCAACCCCTACGCCGAACACACCAAAAAACATCAACGAACAAAGCATCAAACACCACGGAAACAGCCGCGCCGCTTCGGTTTGCCTGGAAACACCCGGCGAACCGGTGCCAAGAGACCTCTCAAAACCCAAGCCAAAAGGCACCGAGACCTGAAGGGATCCGCTAGCCCCACCGTCCCTGGCTTTCCTGGGAATTTTAAAGCTCGTCCCTCCCCTGTCTCGATTTCACAAATGCAACACAGACTAAAAACTGCGAAGTTCGACCGGGCCTAAACAAACCTCATGCGATCAGAAGTCATCGTATCTCTCAATACTCCATGGAAACCTGAAGCATGGCCATGAAGCTGATGTGTCAAAGTACAGGGAAATACAAAAATACGCGTGTCGTTAGCTTGCCTCCAGTAGTAGAATCCGTCTGAGTGCCGCTGGTAGGCCTTGCCATCACTGCCGCGCACCTCCATTGGCGCGCGCAAAGCGTGTGCAACTTGAAGCAACGCAATGGGGGAAAACAGCAAGGCGACCCTTTTCGGGCTTGTCTCAAAAGAACACCCAGAGGAAATACTGTCCTTCCTGGTAGCTCCGAAAGGCTCCCTCTTTAAAGTCAAATCTGAAAAACCGCAGACCCTTCAGAAGTGGGGGTGTCTGTTTTGAGGCAACCCTTTTACGTTCTTTGTCGAAGGAAAATCCAAACAAAACAACGTGTGATGGAGATTACCCTATTTGGAGACGCGCCCAAGTACTCAAAGTCAGTGCATGACAATTGCCAAATGTGCCACATCGGCACTTTGCAAAGTGCCAAAGGTGCCACAAATTCGTGGGTCGGTGCAAATGCGGCAAAGGGTTTTAATTCGGCAAAGGCCCTGGGAGGTTGACACACAGTCTCATCCCACTCCTCTGCATTTGCTGATAAGACAGCCGTTGCGGGGTTGTTGTAGTCAACAGAAAACCAAAAGGATTCAAGGATACCACCCATTTCGACACATACCCACCCAATTATACTTAATCAATGATAACTTGGGGCCCACCCTAGACAAGACCCCAAACTAAGCAGCGCACTTGCAGAAAGTGAGCGCGCGGTGGCTCGCGGGAATGCATGGTTTGATATGGATTGTATCACTAGAGCAATCTCTTTTCAAAGCCCAGGACCCCCAAAAAGAAGCCGTAGCTGCTCTTGGGCGAGTGCTACCCCCTCCCCCCCCAAGGTTGCCACTAGGCCAGGACGTTGTTCTTTTTAGGTTTAGTTGAAAAGGAAAGCCGAAACAAAACGACAGATGGATCAATGTGCCTTCTGCTCCCCCCTCTTCAGTACTCTCCGAAAATGCTATGTTGCTAATTTATTACATATATTAATTGCTTGAGCTGCATCGTTGAGACCAAAAAACCAGCTTCCAAGTTGTTTCTGGAAATAGCTCTGCAAAGTTTGCTCCAGCACACTCCAACCTCTTTGAACAGTACTTGGGATTTTGGACGGCAGTTGGGCGGTGCTAATCATTCCAGGACTTGTGAAAGGGCCCACATGAGCTCGTATCCCACCCAGGCGAGCTGGTCAGAAAGTAGCCAAGCTAACACCTGGGCAAATCAAAGGAACCCGCGGCCCCACGAAAGGATTCTTCTTCACGGGCAACGGAGAAGACTGCCCTAGGTACGTTGCTATCATGCTGACCTCCTCCAAGAGTGGTAAGCCCCCACTAAAAAGAAACGCCCACGATTTGTTCAACCTGGGGTCTCATGAATCTGCCCAAATCATATGACTCCCCACCCGCCCCCCTCACCCCTCACCCATCACCGCCTCTAGACCTAAAACTGAGCTCAAGCAGCTAAAGCTGCCAAGCCTCAGAGCAGCAAGCAAAAAACGTCGCTGTTCAAGGGCCCTGCTTGGCCATTGAATCCCTGGTTAAAAATGGAGAGATGAACCTTTTGAATGGGGTTGAAGTATTGGGGTTACCCTTCGGCGGCTACTTGTAGACACCCCAGACCTCTGTACTTCCATATAAAAAAACAGAGACGGCCTTTTTTGGGTGGGTTTTTCAGCGGAGGTCCGGGATAGACCCCCGATTCGATCCGCTCCCACACACCTGGAACCCGCTACCCGGGTGGTTCGGGGAAACCAACAAACCAACCATCGGAAGGGGTCCCCAGTCTTGCGAAGCACCCAGTTCAGAGCCTCATTGGACCCATCAAGGCAACCAAAAAGGGTCAAGAAGCCACAGGAACCGATGGCCAGAACACATCCCACAAGGCTTGAATCCCATGATGCAAAAGCTATTAGCTCATATCCTCAATGGCCATAAGACCCCCCAACCACTCTATAGCAATTCATTATTATGATGACCCCCCCTTTCCGGCTCGGATTTCTCCTCGGTACAGGCGGGATAAATCAACACACCATAAATTGTTGCCCACATGTTCCTTACACATGGTCCAACGCTTAAATCATCAGCAGGGAGTGGTCTGGCGACTGCAGGTTCCAGTCAAACCGATAGATGAGGAATGGCATTCTGTCGGCGGCAGGTGCCCCCCAGATTCTGGTGAGTACCCCTCATGTTCTTGTACTCTGATTCGCGTGCCCCGTGCCATTCCCCACAGCAGTGAATGACAGTAAATACTGATCATTGCTCATACTGCAGATTCAGCTGGTGTGGGGGGGATGTATGTAAATAAGCTCTTCACAGAGGAGGTGGGACGAATGATATGTGTTTGTCCTACAAGTGAAAGGAAGTCCTTTTTGCGCCATGGTGAGAATATTTGCTGGGCCTTGATGGCTCCCTCAAACAAGGAACTTCGGAGAGATTTCCTCCAAAGTGGACGATCCCTGAGGGGGACACCCATGGAGAAAACATCCGCCTTCAAAGCTTGGCTGTTACCACATGGGCATGATTCGGAGTTTGGGCCTGGTTGCAAAATATGCTATTGCTGCTAAATGCGTTCTTTGCTTTTGGTCAAAAGGAACCATGCATCAACTGACTCTACCCCATGAAAATTGTCCAAGTTACAGTAGGGCCATTGCTCAATATCGAAGCGGACATTACTATCCACGCGGGAAATAAGCGGTCAAGGACCTTCACGGGTGCGTTGCTGAGCAGATTCAGTCGGGATGTCTCATGGGAAACCAACGGACGGTTCCTGTTTGTTTTACCCGTAGACCTCAAGACAGGTACTGTAGCAACGTTGACACAGCAGACTGGTGCCCTGGTGGCTGTTCATTCCAAGGAAAACCAAGCCCAGTCATCCATCCAATCCAGCAAGCTTTGGGGTGTCCCAATGGGCTTCCATTCAGGCAGCTCAGAGCTTGCAGAGGCACCATCTGGGTCAGTGGCTGATCTAGAAGTCCGTCTGGCACCGCGAAGCCGTCAAGCTTCACCTCGCTCAAGTCGTAGGATGGGAACAAACGGAAGTGAACAAAAAACAGGACTCGTCCCTGTGATTGCAACATGTGGAACGAAATATGAGTCTTTGTCCCTCCCAGTGGATCATCGACTGTATATTTGTAAAGGCCCTTCACCTTCACCCGCCAGCTGGTTTGACCACCCACGATCCGGCTCCTTGTCAATGTCTCATTCCGATCCCAACCTTTCGGGCGAAAACTGGCAATGAGTTGGAAGCCACAGCCAGCTGAACCGTCCAACTCGTTATGCGGCTTCCTTCCTAACAGGTCAAACTCAGGCCTCGCGCCGACTTCGCGCCCATGTTCTTGCTGGGCGCAGAAAGTGTGACGGCCCAAGCCCGATGTTCGACTAGCTTCCCGAATCCCAAACTTGCCGAAGCTCTAACTTATAACTTCTCTAACCTCCAAGCTCTAACTTTGCTCTTCTAACTTGTATGATTCTAATTTCTCTAACCTCTAACTTCTGGATACTTATCTCATGCTGAGGCTTGCCCGTTGCAGGCAATGAAAGCAGGACGCCCAATGCAGCAATGTTTTTGGGTTCATGGGATGACCCGTCGTTGCTCATGACACTGGCTTTCCTCTGAATGTGCTCTGGCCGAGCCGCCGGCATGAGTTGGCTTTCGGCCATAAAGGGAAATCCCATCGGCTCCTTGGAAAAAAGTGTTCTTGCGATCCACGAAACCCAGCAAAAAAAGTGATCCGAGTGTCCGTCTCGATCTCTTGGCTTGGGAAATGGAACAGCCAGAAAATGCTCCAGATTTTAGGCCCCCCTGGGGCCCCTGTTTTGTCACCAACAGCTGCACACATCTCTAGGCTTCCGGAAAGATTCCAGGATTGTTGGGGATACAAAAACAAGTCCCAACTTGGTTCCCACAAAAATGGTTGTCCCGCCAAAAGAAAAAAACATGCCCCTCTGGGGATTGGGAACTTGCCCTTGCTGCGCTCCCTCTGGGTCCGTTGCCAGGCTGGAATTGGTGATGCGCGTACCCGCCTCACGGCTTTTGATGTTGCACAGCTAACAAATTGTGCCTTGAGCCCAGCCACTTGCTGTGATTCGAACGGAAGACGGAAAATTGAAACGGCCGACTGACAAGGACAAGCATGCAAAGTATCTGTCCTTTCCACAGCGTAAGCACCGGCAACTCCTTTTTGAAGACCAAACAAGACCAGCAATCGGGTCGCGAACCTCACATGCCGCCCATGGAGGGGGTGCTCATGCTTCAAAGGCAAAAGGAATGCGAGATGATCTCACGGGGTCCGAGTACTTATGTAATATGGATATGTATGATCCTAGCTGTTGGCTCCCAAGTCAAGGTGAAAAGGCTACCCCCAAAACAAACACACACACACACACACACACTTCTTAAAGGCGAGGGGAACTGTCAACTGAGAATGTCCCGATCTGTGAGGTACTTATACTTGAAGAGGGTCAAAATAGAACAGGGATTTGCTTCCGAGTCAATTCAGCGTAGATGTACAAAACGATTGGCTTTGGTTCTAATTTGGTACATCTCGAATTGGGCATGTGCGTGCCATCTTCCCCGCAAATTGCCAGGTTGGTGCGGTTGAGTTGCCTTCCCGTTTGGGACGAGAGAGAGAGAGAGAGAACAACAAGTGGCAAAGCGCTGCAGGGTTCTGTCTAACTTCCAGGTTGCTCTTGTCTTTCCGGTCTTCCGGTTGTATTCCTATAGTCAGTGGCCTTAACGTACGTCGTTTTCCCATGGGACCAGTTAAGTCCCGCTGTTGCGATCCTTTGATGCAAGGACTGCGTCCTTTGAACCATCCCTGCTGAAAGTGTGGTCAAACAACACGAACATATCCATGTCCAAACAACACTTGAAAGGGAAAGGACAGGTCACCAAGGGAAGTTCAAGTCTCACATCAGCCCAGGGAGAGGTTTTGGCAGCGAAGGTACCGACCATGTTTGCTCAAGAACCTTTGGTTTGCAACTCAAAATCGGCGACCTTCCTGAAACAGGCGGTTTCACATGGTTTACCCCCCCCCCATCCCCTGGTGGTTTCATGTGGTTTACTCCCCCCCCCCCAATCCCTGGTGGCTTCATTCTGTATACCCTCCAAAAACAATGGTGGTTCCATGCGGCTTTGAACCAACCCCAAAATCTCCATTTGCTTGAGGCCCCTGGAAAAAACTCGGAAAATATGATAAACCAACAAATCCCTCTAAAATCCAACAAGGGAAAATCAAACAACATATTCCAACACGGGATAAACCCACAAAAAACACATAATTATTCTCAAGCAAATGGAAGACAAGTTGTACCCCCCCTCCAAAAAAAAGGTGGTTCCATGTGGTTTCGCTTTGAACCCAACCCCCAAAGTTGTCACCTTTCGCAAAAAGCAAAACGAGACCTCCGACTTCAGCCCCCGGCACCGCGGACCTGGCCGTGACACAGCCGCGAGCGACCGGTAGTCCATGGGGCGAGACAGGTTGAGCACCCCAAATGGGTTTTGAGGTTCCCTTGTTTTACTGGGCTGTCCAAAATGGAGGGTTGGCCAATCCTAATCCATATTCCCTGCAGGAAAGCCACCACAAGAGGAGACCCCTTGCGAAACCCCAGGTAAGGATTAAGGATTACCTTTGAACCTGGTTTTGCTCGAAACCCTGGAAATGATACCCTTTAACACACAAAGACACACTCACACACACAAATCGATGAATCCCATCAGCTAGTTATCCCACGAAACAAACCATCCCACCTAAAGCACTAAATTGGGACAGCCATTCAATTAGCAAGGCACCCGATTTCAAGGTACGTGCGTGGGGAAAAAGGGCATCCGTCTTGTTGGCAGATCTGCATTGGAAGGCCCCTGGAGGTATGCATAGGGGCAAGCGGCGTTAGTTCAAACATGCGTATCTTTGAAGGAAACCATGCGTGGGCAGTTGAGGACTTCGCAGGAACCTGACCACACGCAAGTGCTCAATGACAACAAACCAAAGAAACACAAACAACAGAAAGGCAGTCAGGCAGGCCAGCAAGTCAGCAACAATCAACCAAGAAACGCGCCGCGGCACTCAACATCGGCTAGCCTCCCGCCTGCAAGCATGGAATCCCACAAATCCCGTTCAGTAAAAACATTCTAATGGAATGGAGCCAGTGTGGTTGAAACGTTCTTATGTCTGTTGATGAGAGAGCCTGCGTGGGTCCTATGTTTGTTGATGGGAGGCTATCTAATTACTTTCTCTTTCCCACAGCGCGTTACATGGTAACAAACCCCATCCACCGCCCATTCATGGGCTGATTTTGACATGTTCCTGGGGTACAAAGGAATTCATATTGAGTCCACCCCAAGTAGACAACAATTGCTTTGGAGATCCTAGATCCAGTGGTCAATTGGAAAAAGGCGTGCCCACGTTTGGGTTGACTTTAAAGGGGCCCTCCCAAACAGAAAACAACAAGGGTACCGCGGAGGTCTGGGTAACATGGGAAGCGACGTCTGCTCACAAATGCCCATGGTTTGATGTTAAAGGGGACCGCCTCAAGACTTGGTGGTTCGTTGATCCCTGAAGTTGAACTTTGAGGTAATATGACATCTCTAAACCCAGGCAAGCCAGTGTAGGTACCCTTCGCATCTTCCTGCTCGCAGTTCAAGGGTGTTTCTCTTTGCTTGGCTACAGAGGCAAATGGAATCACTGAGTAAACGTCCAAGGATTTAAGGATCAGCTTCCCTCCAATCGATGGTTTGGTTTGGTGGTTTGGAGGTTACATGATTTCCCATCTACCTCGAAGTTCAAATCCCACCAATCCAAACTTCCTCAAAACTGGCGGCTTTGCTTTTCGTTCCCCTTTTCCACCACCAAAAAAGGTTCCCTTGAACGACACGCCGTGGTTGGACCCCCGGAGGGATCTCAAGCCTCTCAAGACGAGCGCTCTGTCGGCCCTCGACGTGTCGGACCCTGAGAGTGACTCAGGCCCCGGCATTCTCGGACCATCCAGTGCCTCGGCTACGACGAAGCGTCCGCTCACCCGAGGGTCGCTTACTTACTTTTTTGAGAAACCCAAGTTTTGGGTTCTCTGAAAATGATATGATATATATATATATATGATATATGATAATAATATATATATATATATATGTTCCTTCGCTTCCGAGTTGCATCATTGGACCTGCCCCCAGGCACTGCTTTGGATTGGGGGGCAGTGGGGCAAGGCCTCTTTTCAGGCCGAGTTGGGACACCACTCCCCCAATGCGCTCAACGGATTTTCAGGCAAAAGGACTTGCCGCGATTGGAGTCCTAAGGTCTTTGCAGGGTCCCGGACCTCCAGTTTTTCACGTCTTGCCTGAAGGTTATCCTTCCAAAATCGCAAAAACAAGTCAATTCGCACGCATGGCCGGGCACACCAGGTGCTGCCAATTGGTATGGCCCATTTTGGGGCCACCGCTTTGGGTTCAAATGGAAAAGCCACCTGAAGGTTGCCCTTTTTCTCAGGGTGAAACCCACACCTCAAAACTTTCCAGATTGACCATTTGCATCTCATGTTTCCCCCTT